TTCTTGCATAAATAGCAGTCCCTAACCATAATTTTATCTTTTTCATCAATTTATCAATAGTCAACATATATTCTCTTCCTGCTTCCCAAGCAAAAAAAAAAGTTATTCTTGTGGGAGCCTTCGCATTCCAAATCTGGTTGACCGGGAAAGTACCATCCCCCCCCTTGTGGGAGCCTTCGCCTTCCAAATCTGGTTGACCAGGACATGTACTGTCCCCCTCCTCCCCCCTATTCTGGTCAAATGATTGTAGAATGACTTGATGTTGAATACGATATTTTATTATTATTTATTAGAATAATTATTTTAGCATAATAGAAATTTTATGTAATAGTAATTTTATTAAAATAAGTAATTTCTTTTGTTAATAGTTTAGGAATTTTGTAAATACACTAAATGTAATATCTTAAAAGATGATAAATAAAATTATATTTTTTTTTCAAATTCTATATAATATTAAAGCTAAATAAAGTTATTTTAGGATTTTAATTTCAAAATTTCCTTAAAACCCTAAAATAACACAATATGTTGAGTTGGCACCCATTTATCTATACCTACTTTCATTACCACCCGAAACAGATCCGGATAGAGAATTGGTGGCCGCGTCTGACCAAAAGACCGACCAGCGCCGGTTACCAATCAGCTTCTGCTTTCCGGCTTCAACTTCCTGGTCGCCAATCAGCTTGCTTCGGTTCTGCCGTCCATCAGATCGCTGCGGCTCCGTTCCAGATCTGGTTGGGTACCAAGACAGCTGCTCCCACGCAACCAGGTAGAGGAAGACAGCTCTGCACGCGGCGGAGAGGAAGATCTGCGTGCGCAAGTGTCAGATCTGGTCTGTTCGGAGAGCGAAGGAGCTGTGCACAACCGGAGAAGAAGGCAGAGTGGTGCGCGACGAGCTCTGCGCGCCGGAGAGGAAGATCGGTCCATGACGGCCAGATCAGAGCGTCAGCGCGTTGGGTCTGTCCGGGAAAGAGGAGTTGTGCATTTTTCCGGTGCAATTTCATCAGATGCGTGCCGGATCTAAGTAGGCGTAACCTTCTATGCTGATTCCCGGCAATATTTCGGCAGCGCGTGGTAGCCGGCGGCTACAAGAGCGACAGTGCATGGAGTTCCGGCAACAGTGCCCAGTGGCGCGTGGTTGTCTGATGACTGGGCATTTGTCAACCCATGGCGGCACGTGAGAGCTCATGAGGTACTCTGTTGGAGCCCAAGCCGTTTAGAGCTGGCCAAGCCGTTTTGAGTTGTGCTGAACTGTTTTTGAGCCGAGCCAAGCCATTTTGACCCAAGAGTTTGAGCCAAACTCGAGCCGTTTTTTGAGCCGAATCGAACCAAGCTGCTGTCTAAAAGATCTAATTCCACTTTGTAACTTGTTCTACAAGTTGGGCATGTGCGATATCACTGCACCAACTTGAGGAGAGTATTGAATATAATATTTTATTATTATTTACTAAAATAAGTATTTTAATATCTATCAAAATAAGTAATTTTCTTATTAATAGTTTAGAAATTATATAAATACACTAAATATAATACCTTAAAATGTGAGAAATAAAATTATATTTTTTATCCAAATTCTACACTTGACAATGAACTCCTTTTGCTTCTTCATTTTCCAAACAATCTGGTCTCTATTGTCAATTACCTGAACATTGGATAAGATTCAATCTCTCAAACATTAAGATTTTTATCATGTTCACATTCCACTCCTACTCCCATTCCCCTCAATATAGGCTTCCTCTACCACCATATTTTTAAATTGTGCAATGGCGAAAATCCTCGGAAACTGATCTTTGAGGCTTCCCTTTCCAATCCATTCATCCATCCAAAAATGATTTTGTGCCCCTTCCCCAACTTCTAATTGGTGCATTCCTGAAATTTTTGTTTCCCCATCCCGATTTTATCCAAAGCCCCATGCCATGCAGTCTAGCCACATCCCTACGAGATCTACCAATATCGGCAGTATCCCACTGAGCCTCAACAACAGTCTTCAACAACCTCTAATCTTCCCTCATACACCTCTAAAGCCATTTTCCTTGTACGTAGTATTCATCTCAACAAAAGATCTAAGACCCAGACACCCCTGCTCTAACGACAACTTGACACCATTCCACTTCACAAGATGATATCTTCTACTCCTCTCTTCACCCCCTCCCCCCAAAGAAACCGACACTGAATATTTTCCAACTTTTGTGCAATCTTCACAGGAACTGCCAACACAAATAAATAATATATGGGAAGGTTAGTCAACATACTTCTAATAAATGCTAATCTTCCTCCCTTGTATAAGTAATTTCTCTTCCATCCCGTAAGCCTTCTCTCAAAAACTTAATCACAGATTCCCAAGTCCTCACATCTTTTTATTTAAACACCAACAATATCCCAGATACTTGATAGGAAGTTTACCTATTTGCATTCCTACACTCCAACTTAACGTATCTTCATCCTCCTGTCTCCTATTCTCACCAATTTTATTTTTTCAAGTTAATATTCATCCAGGAAACTGTCTGGAAACACAATAGAATGCACCGAAGTTGAAGGATTATCCTCTCCTCAGGTTGACAGAAAATTAGGGGTGTCATCAGCAAAACACAAGTGAGATAGCTCTATCTGCCGATCTCCTCTTCCCACCTTCACTCCCTTTACCAGCTCCACCTCTCTGGCTCTCTCCAACAACCTACTCAACGCCTCTATAACAATGATAAATAAAAGAGGGGAAAGAATCTCGCTGTCGCAGGCCTCTAGTTGCCTTGAAGAAAGAAGAATGCCCAACATTTACCATCACAACAAAAAAAAGTAGTTGTGCATGACTTCTTCCACCTTCTCCACTTATTCCCCAACCCTAATCTACCCAATATGTAATCCATGAACTCCTAATTCAGATGATTTTCCGCTTTCTCCATATCCACCTTACACAAGATCCTCTCCCTCTTATTACCTATTAAGTCATCATCCACTTC